CACCCCTCGGAGTCCCAGGAGGAAAGCGCAGGGGCAGGGAACTGGCATGTCTTTCCTCACGATTGCATCTCACTCTGCCTGAGATTGGGGGCAGCAATAATCGTTTCTACTGCACCCCCATCTCCTCCCCACTCCCAGGTCATGAGGGCAGGACCAGGCCTGCTCCCACCTCCCTGCTGGGAGCGTTCCCTGGCCATGGCAGGGGCCCCTCTCCCTAAATATCACATGACCTCTTCAATCTCCAAGGACAGCTGGGTGATCAAGAGTCCATTTTGCAGATGGGGAGAGGGTCCAGAGAACTGAGACCCAGGGAGATGCTACCAGCTTGTAGGGATAATGCTGTCCCATCTGAGACAGGAAGGTGAGAGATCAGGCCTTTCTCCCTGGCCTCACCAGCTGGGCCTCTCCAACCCCTTCCGGAGCCCCCAACCTCTGGCCAGGCAGGAAGTGAAAAGGGCCTGCAGGAAGCCCCAGGAGGAAGTGATACTTAAGCCAGCCGTGCCCCCACCAGCCAGGGCCCTGGGGACTTGGTTGGAATCAGACCCTCCTTTTTTTTTTTTTTTTTGAGACGGAGTTTCGCTCTTGTTACTCAGGCTGGAGTGCAATGGCGCGATCTCGGCTCACCGCAACCTCCGCCTCCTGGGTTCAGGCAATTCTCCTGCCTCAGCCTCCCGAGTAGCTGGGATTACAGGCACGTGCCATCATGCCCAGCTAATGTTTTGTATTTTTAGTAGAGACGGGGTTTCACCATGTTGACCAGGATGGTCTCGATCTCTTGACCTCGTGATCCACCCGCCTCAGCCTCCCAAAGTGCTGGGATTACAGGCTTGAGCCACCGCGCCCAGCTGGAATCGGACCCTCCTTAAGGAAAAGCTGGCCTGAAACACAGGCTCAGGGAGGGGCCTTTTCCCTTCAGTTCCCACCCCAAAAAAACGGTCCTTCCAGAGTCTACCTGGGGATCCCTCTTACGGAAAAGAGGCTGGTCGGGAAGAAAATATTTGGTGATGAAACCAACAGGTGGGGCCTGGCATCCATCCAGAGTCCTCCACTCCCAAGGAGGGTGTCGGGGCCCATGACCTGCTGGGCAGGCATGCTGGGCAGGGGCAGGAACCCAGGGTTTGCCCAGCTCCACCCACCTGTTGTATCTTGGGCGAGATTCCTTTACCTCACAGGGCCTCCCTTTTCGTATCTGCAAACTGGACCATATAATCCCTGCTCATGAATGTGAAATGGTCCAGATTTTCAGGAGAAAAATTGGACCAACAGGGACCTTTAAAAAGGTCAAGGCAGTGCAGTGACTCATGCCTGTAATCCCAGCACTTTCGGAGGCCAAAGCACAAGGATCACCTGAGGTCAGGAGTTAAGACCAGCCTGGCCAACATGGCCAAACCCCTTCTCTACTTAAAAATAGAAAAATTAGCTAGGGGTGGTGGCCTGTGCCTGTAGTCCCAGCTACTCGGGAGGCTGAGGCAGGAGAATCTCTTGAACCCAAGAGGTAGAGGTGGCATTCCAGCCTGAGTAACAGAGCAAGACTCTGTCCCCACTTAAAAAGTCAAGGCCTTTGGTGCAACAACTGTGCCTGGGACTCAGACTCCTGCACAGGCCCATGTGGATGGAAGGAGGCACTCATAGCCTCAACAGCCAAACCAAAATGGCCAAGTGCCCGGGTGGAAAACCTTACCACGTTGAAAGGCTTATTGTGATTGTAAAGTCTTTAAAGAGAAACTTACCAAATACCAATATGATGGTCAAGACGTGAATTTAATGTATAGAATGATTACAATTATGTAGAAAAACACACACTACAGGCTTGGTTACTGGACATGGGTCATTTCTTCCCTGACTACATCATGGGTTCCCATCCAGAACTTGCAGATTGTCTACAAAATGCATATCTTCATTTTTTCATAAAATTTTAAAGCAGGGGCCAGGTGCAGTGGCTCAGGCCTGTAATCCCAGCACTTTGGGAAGCCAAGGTGGGCAGATCACAAGGTCAAGAGATCGAGGTTGCAGTGAGCTGAGATCGCACCACTGCACTCCAGCCTGGAATGCAAAAAAAAAAAAAAAACAAACACAAACACCCCACCCCCCTCCTCCAGGTGCTCTTATGAAGAGCAAATGAGGTATCGATATGACGGCTCTGGGTCTCAGTCTCCTTGTCTGTGAAATCCATGTGAGAATTATCTAAGGCTCCTTCCTGTTCTTCTCTGGGGGCCACAGGCCAGGAGGAGAACTTTACACCCAACCTCTCATTTTTCAGAAGGAAAAACAGAACTCGGGAAACTTCCTATCGGCCAGAGGGTCCAGCTGGGACAGAGAGATCCCTAAGGTTTGCATGTCTGGGCCCCAGAGGGGTTTCACCCACACTTGGTTTTCACCTGCTGAACTAACCCCGAATATAGCTAAAAATGGGGTGGACAGAGGAAGATGTGGGAGAGATGGGGTGTCCAGGAGAAGATGGGGTGGGAGGTGGGGTATCCAGGAGAAGGGGTGAGAGATGGGGTATCGAAAAGATGGGGTAGGAGACACAGTGGCCAGGAGCAGCTCAGACTCCCCCAGCCTCAGATGGAGGGGTAGTGGACAGCTGGGTCCATGTGGGCCTGACCCCACCAGCCCTCTCCCACACCTACTGCTTATCATTTGACCTCACCCTGTCACCTGGCTCCCTGGGGGCAGGGGCATCTGAGATGGGTTCATGGAGCAAGTAGCCAGGCAGAGACCTGGATGTGAGTGACCACTGGCCACTGTCTTCTGAGCTGGGAACACAACAGGCCCTTGGGACAGGAAGCACTGAGTCCAGAGGCCTGGCAAGGGACAGGAGGGGCAGGGGTCTACGGGTGACTCCGGTGGCTGCTCAGGAGAGGCAGGCAGAAAACTGCTGCAGGAACAGAACATGCCCAGGGCCCAACAGAGGGAAACAGTACCCAGAACTCCACCTTCTGACTCCTAGTCCAGTGCTCCCTTCCAAAGATGCTAACCTGCAACAAGTTCGAAGGAAGCTGCCCAGGGCGGAGTCTGGGTCAGGAGATCTGACCCTGTGCAGGAGGCGGCAGGCTGTGCACAGGGTCGTCCAGGACTGGAAAGAGACGGCCTTGTCCCCAGACCCCAAAACAAGGTACATCATTGTAAGAGGAGGGAGCAGCTTCCACTGTGACGGTAGGTGACCTGGGGGCTGGCACAGACTGGCCAAATGACCCCAGCACTGGGGGGCCGGTGCTTCAGGGGAACAAGCCAGAGAGAGAAGGGAGTTCAAGGGACCTCACATCCACACGGTTCAAGGTCACAGGCCTGCCCTGGCCTCTGCACGAAGGAGCCTCCTGTAGGCCCCGGCCATGCCCTGTGTATGGCTGAATGTGCTGTGCCTTGGAGCAGCTGGAACCCCAAGTGGACCCTAAGAGAGCTGCCTGCCAGCATGTTCCTTAGCTCGAGTTTGAAGCCCAGCCCTGGAGGCTGCACACTTCCTCCCAAGTGCAGGCTTGTGGCTCTGGAAGCTGCCACTGGGGTCAAAATGGCATCTTAGGTTCTGGCAGATTGGGCCAGTCTCAGGGTTGATCCTGGGATAGAGCTACCTGAGAATTAGCAAAATCCACCTCAATCTTTTCTTCTTTGTTATTTCTTAAAATCTTGTACTAAACCTTAAAGCAAGCAAATGCATGAATTGGTTACTTTTGCCATTTGCATCAGTTTAAAAGCAGGATGGCTCTGAGGACAGGTATTAAAGAAATACAGGTCAGGCCTGGTGGCTCAAGCCTATAATCCTAGCCCTTTGGGGAGGATGGCCTGAGGCCAGGAGCTTGACACTGGCCTAGGCAACAGATCAAGATCCCATCTTAAAAAAAAAAAAAAAAAAAAAAATCGGGGCCGGGCGCGGTGGCTCAAGCCTGTAATCCCAGCACTTTGGGAGGCCGAGGCGGGTGGATCACGAGGTCGAGAGATCGAGACCATCCTGGTCAACATGGTGAAACCCCATCTCTACTAAAAATACAAAAAATTAGCTGGGCATGGTGGCTTGTGCCTGTAATCCCAGCTACTCAGGAGGCTGAGGCAGGAGAATTGCCTGAACCCAGGAGGCAGAGGTTGCAGTGAGCCGAGATCGCGCCATTGCACTCCAGCCTGGGTAACAAGAGCGAAACTGTCTCAAAAAAAAAAAAAAAAAAAGAAAAAATCAGCTGGGCAAGGTGGAACACCTGTAGTCCCAGCTACTCAGGAAGCTGAAGCAGAAAGATCACTTGGGCCCAGGCTGCAATGAGCCAGGGTCCCATCACTACACTCTATCCTGCGTGATAGAGCAAGACCCTGTCTTAAAAAAAAAAAAAAGTGGCCAGGCGCGGTGGCTCAAGCCTGTAATCCCAGCACTTTGGGAGGCCGAGGCGGGTGGATCACGAGGTCGAGAGATCGAGACCATCCTGGTCAACACGGTGAAACCCCGTCTCTACTAAAAATACAAAACATTAGCTGGGCATGGTGGCACATGCCTGTAATCCCAGCTACTCAGGAGGCTGAGGCAGGAGAATTGCCTGAACCCAGGAGGCGGAGGTTGCGGTGAGCCGAGATCGCACCATTGCACTCCAGCCTGGGTAACAAGGGTGAAACTCCGTCTCAAAAAAAAAAAAAAAAAAAAAAAGAACAGGTGTGGTTGCTCATGCCTGTAATTCCAGCAATTTGGGAGGCTGAGGCGGATCATGAGGTCAGAAATTGAGACCAACCTGGCCAACGTGGTGAAACTCTATTAAAAATACAAAAATTAGCTGGGCATGGTGGTGCATGCCTGTAATCCCAGCTACTTGGGAGGCTGAGGCAGGAGAATCACTTGAACCAGGGAGTCAGAGGTTGCAGTGAGCGGAGATCACACCACTGCACTCCAGCCTGGCAATAGAGCAAGACTTTTTTTTTTTTTTTTTTTTTTTTGAGGCAAACACAAAACCACACCCAACTACTACAAATTAAGTATCCTCCCACTTGGTCTTTTTTCAGATTCAGTTTGGCTTAATGGTGCTATCCCCATTTTAAAAGAGAAGTCTCTTACTCAGAGCGCCCCAGCCTTTCGAAGGCACAGGAGCTGGGCTACCACCTTCAAGGGCTGTCAGAGATGGTATGGTCTGAAGCCAAAAGCAAGCACACCAAAGTCTATGCTGGTTGAATGCTGTGGTCGGTGCTGTCTGTGCTTCTGCAGGGTTTAGCCTGGTCCCAGAAAGAAAGCAGTTGCATGCTGGAGTGAAGAGCTGAATTTGATTTCCAAGCCCCTGGCTGGGGTCTGGAGGGAGGCCAGGAGGCACCTCCTGCCAGCTCTCTGCTATTAATGCTCAGGGCCAGCTGTCTTGGTGGTCACCAGTTCAGTGGAGCCCAGCTCTGTGGCTGGCACAGGGACGCTGTGGCCAGGTGGGGTGGTTCCTGGGTCTTCCCCAGGAGGCGGCCAGGCAGGAGCTGTGGCATCAGTGGTTCCTGGAGACAAAATGATGACCTTGTCCAGGGGCTCCGGGGCTGCTGGCCGAGGTGATAGAGGCTCAGTACTGGGTCACTGACTTCCCTCCCTCCCTAGAAGCCTCCTCTGGAGGAGCAGTCCTCCATCAAATGAAGCTCACTGCAGGGCAGGGAGGGGTGGCACATGGCTGACCCTGAGTCCAGAGGCCTGACCAGTGGGGAGCTGGCAGGGCAGGGAGTTGGGGAGCTGGGACTCAAGTCTGGCAAACCCTGCAGGAACCAAGCTTCTTAGACTCCGAGAGGGCAGGACAGACTCCTCCCTCAGACAGGGACCCCCTTCTCCAGACCTGTCTCTTCCTCACACTGGGGTCTGGCAGGGGCAGACCTGTTCCTGGCTCCAATCACGGGTTCAGGTGCAGGACTATGTCTTGGTGCCTAGTCTGAGTGCCGAAGGGCAAACACTTCCGCTCTCCATCCATGTCCCCCCATTTAAAGCCCTTCTCCCCCCCTCTAGGGGCCATGCATCATCCCCCAGGCCGTCCCCGCGACCCCATCCCCTGCGCCCTGCTCGGACTGGTTCCCTTATACCCGGAACTCACCCGCCTTGTCTCCGTCGGGGGCTTCAACCGAGGCCGCCCCGCGAAGCCGCTGCTGTCGCCGCCTCCAGCTCACCAGGCCCACCAGGACCAGCGCCAGGACCAGTACCAGGCCCAGGAGCGCGGGGGCGCCGAAGAGCAGACCGGGCAGGGGCAGCGCCACCTCGCCGGCCCCCGCGCCTACCGACTCCTGCGGCTGCAGCGCCGTCTCAGGCGCAGGGCTGCTGGCTCCGGCTGCTGCGGGAGGGGACAGGGAGGGGCGGAGAGGGGCGAGGTTGGCCCGGGAGGGGAAGGTCAGCGGGGGGGGAAGGGGGGCGGTGGGCAAGGGGAGGGAGAGACAGGCGGCGGTGAGGGCTACGCTGTGATCCTGCGTGAATCCTCTCAGCCTTCTAAGCCCCCGGCGATCGGGGCTTCGTACTCCCCGCGGCTGCCAGCGCCACGCGCCCCGTGGGTCCCCCTTACCTGTTTTCGGCGGCGATTTGCGTAGGAGCCTACAGTCCACGCATTTACGGACCAGCAGGTCGTAGCACTCGGTCGGGATGCAGGGCGTGGGGACCGGTGCTTCCCTGCCCCGCAGGCTCCGGGGGCCTCGCCTCATGGTGCCAGCACTGCCGTATGAGCCTTGGGGACTGAGGCTGAGTGGGGCTCCCGGGCCCTTGCGGTGGAATCGAGGGGCGGGAGGGGGGGGGTGGAACACTCCGCCCTTCCCCGCCCCCTCCTGCTGGGTGGGACCGCGCTCCTCGGGCCCTGAGCCCCGGGCTTTTCCCATTCAGCCACTCAACCAGCACTGCCTGGACGGGCCGTCTGCTGGGTACTGGGACAAGGCTGGGGACAGACAACAGCCTCCTCTGGGGCAGGGAGGGGGATGGGCCCTACAGCCAGGACACACCTTGAGTGGCTCCTCCACTCTGCCTCACCAAGGCCGCTCCATGGCCCCGGGTGCTCCTGTCTCCTCCACTAGAGAGAATCTTTGTGCCCTTCTGGGACAGAGCTGGTTGGGGGCATCAGACACCTGCTTTTTTTTTTTTTTTTTTTTTTTTTGAAACGGCTTGTTGCCCAGGCTGGAGTGCAGTGGGTGATCTTGGCTCACTACAACTTCTGCCTCCTGGATTCAGGTGATTCTTCTGCCTCAGCCTTCCAGAGTAGCTAGAACTACAGGTGCGGGCCACCACACCGGCTAAGTTTTGTATTTTTTTTTTTTTTTTTTTTTTTTTTTTTGAGACTGAGTTTCTCTCTCGTTACCCAGGCTGGAGTGCAATGGCACGATCTCGGCTCACCGCAACCTCCGCCTCCTGGGTTCAGGCAATTCTCCTGCCTCAGCCTCCCGAGTAGCTGGGATTACAGGCACGCGCCACCATGCCCAGCTAATTTTTTGTATTTTTGGTAGAGACGGGGTTTCACCATGTTGACCAGGATGGTCTCGATCTCTCGACCTTGTGACCCACCCGTCTCGGCCTCCCAAAGTGCTGGGATTACAGGCTTGAGCCACCGCGCCCGGCAGTTTTGTATTTTTAGAAGAGATGAGGTTTCACCATTTTGGCCAGGCTGGCCTCGAACTCCTGACCTTAGGTGATCTGCCCACCTGAGCCTCCCAAAGTGCTGGGATTATATGCATGAGCCACCATGACTGGACTGGCATCAGACACTTGTACCAGGTCCAAGTAGCAGGGGGTCTGCCCTGAAAGAATCTCACTTGTGCTGATGGGGGAAGGCAGCCTCACAGCAAGGGCACTGGCTCATGTCATCCTGGAAAGTGGGCTGGCAGGCTTCATGGAGGAGGTGATGGTGAGGTGTTTGCCAGATGGAGTGAGGTCTATGGCACAGATGGGGGTGAAGGCCAAAGCGGGGAGCAAAGGCTTGGAGACCCAAACAGGAAGTCCAGGGAGTGCTGGGACTGAAGGGCTGGACTGGGGCTTTAGCACATTAGAGAGCTTGGACTGTGGCTGGGGGACATGAGGGAGCCACTAGGGCTTTGAGCAGGGAGCACCCTGGTAGATCTGCATATGAGCAAGGGGCTTTTGACTGCGGTGGAGGCCCACCCACCCCGACTCCTTTCCTCCAGGGCTATGTGTCCCCTCTGCTGACCTCCATGTCTCACTTTGGGCCCCTCCTATCTCTGCTCCCGTGTTTGGGGTCCCCAAGTGTCTCACCCACGTGTCTCTCTCAGACTGAGCATCAGATGCACACACAAGCCCCCTACACCCTCCTGGTCACATGCAACTTATTCCCCAGGGCCAGGGCTGGAGGCGCCTCCGGGAGCTCAGGACTCAGCAGGGAGCATGGGGTTAAGTGCCACGTGTGCCACCCAGACCCCTAAGCACTCAGGGGTCGGGGAGCACGTTGGGAGGAGAGACTTAGGGGCAGGGGAGGGAGCTTGGGGGCAGAGGGAGACCCTGAGCAGCGGTAAGGTGGAGGCAAACACTCCAGGCAGAATGCCACAGGGGCTAAGGCTTGGAGAGGTGAAGGGGGAGCCTGAGCTGCTCTGGGGACAGGCATGGCCACTGCCACAGGGGATGCTGGGAGGGAGGGAGCACTGGGACTGCAGGTGGGCAGGGCACCAGGCCCTGGGCCCTGTAGAGCCTGGGGGCATCCGGGTAGGAGAGAGATTCCTAGCTGTAGCTACAAGGGCCCCTCTCTCTGGCACTGTGGCCCAGGTTCAGGGCAGGTGGCCCAGAGTAGGGGATGATGCAGTGGCTGGTCATGGAGTGAGGGGAGCAAGGCCAGCCCCTGGGTTTCTGGTTTGGGAGACCCTGAAGGTTCACAAAGAACTCCAGTCAGCCAGCCCTGACTAGTGGGCGCTGGCCCACCCTCTCCATCCCCTGTGCACGGGCCAGCAGCTCCCACACAGGAAGGTGTAGGCGGAGGGGAGCTGTAAAGGAGAAGTGGGGCCGGGGGCAGGTGTGGGTGTATGGTGATATGGGGGTGGGGCAGGTGTGGGTGAGCGTGGGTGTATGGTATGGAGATGGAGGGCAGGAACCTGGAGGGGAGCCAGAGCAGGAAAAGCCTCTCTGTGGGGCAGAGGAGTGGGGACAAAGCCAGAAGACTGGGCCACAACCCTGCCACCCACACCCACACCTCCACCTCCACCTCCACTCCTGTTGGTGCTATTACCCATTAGTGAGGTCTGCAGAGGCCTGAGTCCCAGGCCACTCACTTAGCCCTTGTGCCAGCCATGTGAGCAGACCGAGGCTTGTGGGAACCCAGGAACAGGGAACCTGTCCCTGGAGACGGTGGCCCAGTGAGGCCGGAGTGGGAATTTACAGGAGTTAGGAGGAGGGGGCCCATCTGCCCAAGGTCTGCGTTTCACAGCAGAAGCGCTGGCTGCTCTGACTCCAGCAGAGATTCGAGGAGGTTGCTCTCAGGGACAGAGAGTGGGAGGGCTGGAACCCACTGTCAGAGTTCCAGGGTCCCTCACCTTGGCCAGAGAGAGAGGCCAGCTGCTGAGAGCAGCAGACACAAATGAGACACCCATTCATGTGACACAAATGTTTGCCGGGTGCTTCCTATGTGCCCATGTTGGGCAGGTGCCGGGACAAAAGGCCTGCAGGGTTCGTGTCTGTCATGTGTGCAGGTGCCTGGCCTCACAGGAACCTTTCCACTTGGGCCTCCTAAATGGGGTAGCGGGGTGGGCTGCAGCAGGCTGTGTCACTGCATGGATGACACAACAGTTAAGAGGAATTCACAATCAGACCAATGTGGGAAATGTTAGTTCACCCCTTGTATTCTTTATTTCCCATAGCTCTTAAATCAAGTATATTAATCTTTTTTTTCTTTTGAGACAGGGTCTAGTTCTGTCGCTCAGGCTGGAATTCAGTGGCCTGATCTCAGCTCACTGCAACTTCCACCTTTTGGGTCCAAGCGATTCTCCTGCCTCAGCCTCCTGAGTATCTGGGTCTATAGGCATGTACCATCATACCAGGTTACTTTTTTGTATTTTTAGTAGAGACAGGGCTTCATTGTGTTAGCCAGGATGGTCTCAATTTCCTGACCTCATGATCCACCCACCTCAGCCTCCCAAAGTGCTGGGATTACAGCCATGAGCCACTGGGCCCAGCCAAGCCTATTATTTTTAACAGCTTTAAACAAATGTCAAATGTCTCGGGCTGGCCATGGTCATGACGTGGTCACAAATTGGAGGCCATTGTTGAAGGCAGGCAAGGACCCCCTAGCCCTACAGACTGGGAATGTGGAGCCGAGGCTCCTGGAGGCAGCATCTCTTCAGCTGGGCCTAGCAGCTACCTCATCCTTGCTCCTGTAAGCTAGGAGGAAGGTAGTATTTGGGTCCCACTCTCAGAGGGGCAGAGCTTACTTGGAGTCACACATTCATTTGTCCCCCTCAGGCCACCTGGCTACGAGCAGTCCTTGGGCCCCCTGGGAAGCTTATATTCTCCATGGCCAGTGGTCCAGGCCCCAATTTGATAGTGTTTCCCATCCCTACCAAGGAGGCAGGGCTTCCTAGCAAGGCAGGAGGCTCCGCAGCCTGGGCCCTGTCTCCTGCACCCCAGTGAGCAGAGGCAGGAGCAGCCCAGCCGCAGAGGGGAAGTGGTGCAGTGGGAACAGACCCAGCCTCTGAGTCCCACCAACGGGGTCTGTGGCCAATCTGCAATGTGACCTGGGGTGGCCCACTTCCCTCTCCGAGCCCCACCACCTGCCCCCCTCTTCGGGCCTTGTGAGGCTCAGAGAGAAACAAGAGCCTGCCCATGCCTGCCCCGCCCACGCTCCCAGTGGCCCAGTGCCAGCTGGCCAGCTGTGCTCTAGTGGGCTGGTGGGTGAGGAGAGGTGGGGGCTTCTTGAGACAAAGCCCTGTTACAGTTGCCCCCCAACCCACACACACCAGGGGCGCTGGGCCCGGCCTGTTGACAGGGCTCCAGCACAAAGAAACCTTTTCCAGAAGGTTCTGCAGACTTAGCCCCTTCCCTCCATTGTCCCCTGAGGCCAGGACACAGGCAGAGAGTTGCTGTGAAAGGTGGTCTTACACGTGGAGGCAGAGGGAGACAATGCAGTGGGCTGCCAGGCCATGGACCCTGAGTCTGCGGGTCACACCCGAGTCTGGTGCTGTAGACCAGGGGCCGCTGAGGGCAGCTCCAGGGGGACAGTGGGTGGGTGCTCCCTAGAGCCCCAGACCTGCACAGGTGTCAGCCTTCCCTGGGCCGCCCTCTTCTATCAGAGGGGATGCCTGTGGCATGGGGGCCCCTGCGAGCTAGCCAGGCCCAGAAGGGTACCACAGCTCTATTCCTCCAGTATGCTTGACCAGCCTCCCTGTGAGGACACAGATCCCTGGACTTTACCCCCACCCCTCTCCCTGCCACTGTCCGCAAACAGGAGGAGAACCCCACTGATGTGTGTAGTGTGACAGACTTGGGGGCTGCCTGGTGGGCCCCTCTCCTCTCTAGCCTGCTTTTCCTCTTTGTAAAGTGTGACTGGCCATGACAGGGCTGTGGGAGGAGTGGCCTGGATAGGGAGATGCTTTGCACAGTGACCTTTTCCTGGTCACTGGGCCCTGTCTGCTTCCCCCAGACATCCTTGGGGAATCGCTCCACCCTGTCCTCTCTTCCAAGGTCTCCATCCACCAGGCCTTCTCTGCCTCACCATTTGATATTGCACCCCTAACCCTCGGGCACCCCACTCTTCTTTTTCTCTCCAGCACTCCTCACCT